CATATCCACCAGAGAATCCTCTAAAAAATATCATGCATGATCATAGGCTTTTTCAAGGTCTACTTTCACCGCCATCCACTGGGTATTACCTTTTTTCCTTCGCATCGAATGGATCGCTTCTTGAGCCACAAGGATGTTTCGGTAATGTTGCAACTTGCTATAAAGCTTGCTTGATTTGAGACAATAATCCTAGGAAAAATTGCTCGAAATCGGTTAGCAAAAATCTTCATAATTATTTATAAAGAATATAACATAAACTAATAGGTCGAAAATCAACATATGACTCAGGATTATCAATTTTAGGGATCAGAACAAGGAGAGTCTTATTGAAATCAGAGTCGATAGAGTTACCGTTAAATACGCCTTTAACCCAAGAGCAAATAGAAGGGCCTATCGTGTCCCACTGGTTTTGAAAGAACAGAGCGTGAAGACCATATTTACCCAGAGCTTTGAGAGGGTGTTATGTATGGCTCATAAAAAGTCTCGTTGTGGGGTTACGAATTATGTGGGTTGGGGGTGTGGGGGCGCAGCCCCCGCGGTACGGTACAGGGTTGATTTTGTAATTATGTACCAGGGTTTTCTATTATAAATAGAGATGTAACCTAGACCTAAAATATCATTGAATAAAACTTCTAGCGCCGCCTAGGCACCGAGGACGTAAGCACATTGCCGAACCTCGTAAAATTCTCGTGTTCTTTCGTTTTCTTTACCCGTTTTCGTCAACAATTGGTATCAGAGCTCAGGAGCAAAATTCGAAGTCGCGAAATTTGATGGTCAGGGTAACTTCGGATTATGGCAAACGAGGGTGAAGGATCTATTGGCGCAGCAAGGGATCTTGAAGGCTTTGCGACCTACAAAGCCGGCGTCGATGGATGAGGAAGATTGGGAAGAATTGCAGCAGCGAGCGGCAGGAACCATACGATTATGCTTGGCGGACGAGGTCATGTATCACGTCATGCATCTATCGTCTCCAGACGAAATTTGGAGGAAGTTGGAAAGTCAGTTTATGTCCAAATCCTTAACGACAAAACTGTATCTGAAGCAGCGGTTGTATGGGCTGAAGATGCAGGACGATCACGATTTGGCGCAACACGTGAATGTCTTCAATCAAATCGTTTCTGATCTGGCTCGGCTTGATGTGAAAATTGAGGATGAAGACAGAGCGATGATTATGTTGTGTTCGTTGCCTTCCTCTTACGAACACATGGTGACTACTCTTACATATGGGAAAGAGACTATCAATGTTGAGGAGATTACTGCAGCCTTGTTGGCTCACAACCAGCGGAAGCAGAATGCAGGGGAAAGCTCTCAAGCCGATAGCTTATATGTCAAGGGTAATCGAGATCGTGGACGGAAGCCAGAGAAGGCAGGGTCCGGGAAGCGGAATTCCAGATCCAAATCCAGGGATAAGAAGACGATTCACTGTTACAAGTGCAAGGAGGCGGGACATATGAAGCGAGACTGTCCGAAGTTGAAAAAGCAGACCGATGAGAAGCGTGATGGCTCATCCAAGTCTGTGAACGTGGTCGAGGATGATACTTCTGATTGCAGTGAGGGTGATATGCTTTCTATTTCAACGACACAATTGACGGATGCTTGGATTCTTGATTCTGGATGTTCTTATCACATCACGCCAAATAGGGAATGGTTTTCGACATACAGGCCGGTTAATTCTGGTTCGGTTTATTTGGGTGATGATCGATGTTGCAATATTGTTGGTATTGGTGATGTCAGAATTAAGATGCACGATGGCTCCGTTCGGACGTTGAGTGGTGTTCGACATATCCCAGACTTGAAGAAGAATTTGATTTCCTTGGGCACTTTGCACAAGAATGGTTTTATCCCTAAGGCTGACGAGGATAGGGAAACCATTCGGATTGTTAAAGGAGCATTGACTGTGATGAAAGGCAAGATGACTGCAGGGAATATCTACAGATTGTTAGGGAGTACCGTTGCAGGTGGAGTTCACTCTGTTGAGTCCTGTGATGATACGACAAAATTGTGGCATATGCGCCTTGCTCATCTTAGTGAACGTGGTATGGCAGAATTACACAAGAGAAACTTGTTGCATGGTGTCAAAAGTTGTAAGCTCGACTTTTGCAAGTATTTGTTCTTGGTAAACAGACTAAAGTCCGTTTCAAGACTGCGAAGCACACAACTCAAGGGATTCTTGATTATGTGCATTCTGATGTATGGGGGCCTTCCACGACATCGTCTTTGGGTGGATCTAGGTACTATGTTACTTTTATTGATGATTTTTCACGGAAGTTTGGGTGTATTTTTTGAAACAGAAATCTGAAGTTTTTGAGAAGTTCAAGCTGTGGAAAGCTGAGGTAGAAAACCAAACAGGACGAAAAATCAAGTGTTTGCGGTCTCAATGGTACGGAGTACACAGATTCACAGTTCCTACAATTCTGTAAGGAGCATGGGATTCAGAGGCATTTTACAGTGCGCAAGACACCACAACAGAATGGTGTTGCGGAACGAATGAACAGGTCGTTGAATGAAAGAGCCAGATGTTTGCGGTTGAATGCGGGCTTCCCAAACACTTCTGGGCTGAGGCTGTTAACATGGCGTGTTACCTTATCAACAGATCGCCAAGGGGCATCGCTGGCTGGGAAAGTTGCAGAAGAGGTATGGACTGGTCATGATGTTAGTTTTGATAACTTACGGATTTTTGGTTGTCCTGCTTATGTGCATGTACCTGCTGATGAGAGATCCAAACTTGATGCAAAATCGAAGGAGTGTATTTTTCTGGGTTACAAGAAAGGTGTCAAAGGATTCAAGTTCTGGGATCCAGTTGCGAAGAAAGTTGTGATTAGTAAGATGTCGTTTTTGATGAACAGTCTATGTTGCAAGCAGAAGCAAGACACAGTGGTAGATTTCGAGCAGTTTCCAGTTGAGAAACCAGAAACTTCTCACCGACTTCTGGTGGTTCCACTACGGATGATTTGCAGGATTATAGTCTCGCCAGAGACAGGGTGAGACAGACGAATATAAAGCCTCCGAACAGATTGGGTTTTGAAGACTTGGTATCTTTTGCACTTACTGTTAGCAGTGATGATCCAGTTACTTTTCATGATGCCGTTACTAGTCAGGAAAACGACAAGTGGATGGCAGCCATGGTTGAGGAGATGGAGTCTTTGAATCACAATCGCACATGGGAGTTAGTTCCCCTTCCTGAGGGTAAGAAGCCGATTGGTTGCAAATGGGTGTATAAGAAGAAACCAGCAGTAACAGAAAAAGAGGGGGAGAAGTTCAGGCTCGTTTGGTAGCGAAGGGTTTTCACAGCAGAAAGGAGTTGATTATGATGAAATCTTTTCTCCTGTGGTCAGGCACACTTCAATCGAGCAGTACTTGCATTGGTGGCTAGTTGGGATTTGCATTTAGAGCAGATGGATGTTAAAATGCTTTTTTGCATGGTGATTTAGAGGAGCAGATCTACATGCGGCAACCTGAAGGTTTCACTCAACCTGGAAACGAACATTTAGTTTGCAGATTGAAGAAATCTTTGTACGGGTTAAAACAGTCTCCGAGACAGTGGTATAAACGGTTTGACTCCTATATGATCAAGATTGGCTACAACCGATGTGAGTATGATTGTTGTGTCTATGTTAAGAGCCTTGATGATGGTTCTTTTATTTTTCTATTACTGTATGTTGATGATATGTTGATTGCTGCGAAGAACATGGATGATGTTATCGGTTTGAAAACTTTATTGAGTCAGGAATTTGATATGAAAGATTAGGTGCTGCAAAGAAAATTCTTGGAATGGAAATTTGCAGGGACAGAGACTCAAGGAAACTGCGGCTATCTCAACGGGGTTATGTTGAGAAAATGCTAGAAAGGTTTGCGATGAGCAGCGCAAAACCAGTTAGCACTCCATTGGCGAATCACTTTAAGCTCTCATCAGAACAGTGCCCCAAGACAGATAAGGAAGCTGAAGATATGGCAAAGGTTCCGTATTCTAATGCTGTTGGCTGCTTGATGTATGCGATGGTATGTACTCGTCCTGATTTAGCTCATGCTGTAGTCAAGTTTGTAAGTACATGTCTAAACCTGGTAAGCAACATTGGGAAGTAGTCAAGTGGATCTTTCGGTACTTAAAGGGTACTGTGGGACATGGAATTGTTTTGGGAGTCAGCGGGATAATCCTTTGGTTGTAGGATATGTGGATTCAGATATGCAGGTGACTTGGATATAGAAGATCTACGACAGGGTATGTGTTTACTCTTGGTGGAGGGCCTATTTGCTGGAAGTCTACTGTTCAATCTGTCGTGGCACTATCTACAACTGAAGCTGAATACATGGCAGCGGCTGAAGCTGCAAAAGAAGCTTTATGGCTTACTGGTTTAGTGAAGGAGTTGGGTGTTCAACAAGGTGGAGTTCAGTTGCTTTGTGATAATCAAAGTGCTATTCACTTGGCTAAGAATCAGGTGTATCGTGCTAGAACTAAACATATTGATGTAAGGTTCCACAAGATCAGAGAGTTGGTTGCATCTGGAGAGGTTTTGTTTCAGAAGGTACATACTGATGAGAATGCCGCTGATATGTTCACCAAGCCAGTTACGACAGACAAGTTCAAGCATTGCTTGGACTTGTTGAATGTTTCGAGTTGTTAAAGAAGCAAGGTAACCCAACCCACATTGAAGTTTCCAAGGGGCAGGATATTCGCCAAGGTGGAGATTTGTTATGTATGGCTCATAAAAAGTCTCGTTGTGGGGTTACGAATTATGTGGGTTGGGGGTGTGGGGGCGCAGCCCCCGCGGTACGGTACATGGTTGATTTTGTAATTATGTACCAGGGTTTTCTATTATAAATAGAGATATAACCTAGACCTAAAATATCATTGAATAAAACTTCTAGCGCCGCCTAGGCACCGAGGACGTAAGCACATTGCCGAACCTCGTAAAATTCTCGTGTTCTTTCGTTTTCTTTACCCGTTTTCGTCAACAGAGGGCTTATGTCGAGTAGAGCATTCTAAATCTCCTCATCATGTACTACGCCGTCAAGAGTTCAACTTCCTCTTGAGAAAGCCTTGGGAAGGAATTCCTAATAGGGAACTTACCCAAACGACCACCATCGTCTTCGTACAGGGATTCATAAAAAGAAATAGCTTTGGTACTAAGTGTATTCTCATCGTAACACCATTTATCATTACTAAGCTTTAGTGCTTGGATCCGGTTAACTTTTCTACGGTTGAGAGCCTGACTGTGGAAGAATTTAGTGTTGCGATCTCCGTCTATGATCCAGTCGCTTCTAGACTTCTGCCTCCAGAGGATTTCGTCATTGTCAAGAACCTCTTCAAGCTTGGTACGAATATCCAATTCCTTGTCAATTAAGTTCACACTACCGGAGCGATCCATACTAGCTTGAACAACTGCAAGCTGCTGTTTGAGCTTCCTCTTCTCCATAGGGATCTGGCCGTAAACTTCCCTGTTCCAATTGTTAAGCGAAGACATACAAGAATTCACAGAGCCGGGAAGGTTACATTCAGGCCTCTAATTTTCCTGAACAAACTTATTGAAGTGCGGCTGCTTCGTCCACCCCGCGAGGAACCGAAATGGTCTAGGGTAGAAGGGTCTTTGGTCACCCATGGTTTGAAGTAGGATCCGGCGATGATCAGACTTTATCCGTGGAAGATGTTTAACACTGTAGTGTGGAGCCAACTTGATCCAATTATCGTTGGCAACTATACAGTCAAGGCGTTCGAAGACTCCTCCACGCATCAAAGTAAACAGAGGGCTTTTGAATCCCAGGTATTTAAGCTAGTGGTCATGGAGGAATTATTGAAAATATTTGTAGCCTTTCCCTCTTTGAGCCCCTCCGCATTTTTCTTCATCCGAGAAGATGACGTTAAAATCGCCAATCAAAATCCAAGGATCATTACCCGTGGGCCGCTATCGCTCAAATCTCGCCAGAGATTAACTATTTTCTTCCTGTCGGGACTACCATAGACAATATTAATAGTGAAGGATACGTGAGAATTTGGCCAATGAGCTCTAACCTGAACGAATTGAGGATGAGCAGCCTTCACGTCGACAATAAGAGGGTCATTCCATGTGAGCCAGATGCCACCAGAAAACCCCGTTGCTTAAACTCTAAAGGAGTTGTTAAAGCCGAGCTTAGAAATTACTTGGTCCACCTTGTTGCCACTAATACAGGTCTCAAGAAGCGAAACCATGTGGGGTTTATATTCTTGAGTGTATTCTCTCAAATTTTTCGGAAACTTAGTTCTGCCACAACCCTAACAATTCCACGACATTAGAGTACAATCCATAAGATAGTGAGGAATTTACCTTGGTTTCTAAATGCTTTTGGCATTAACTTTAGGAGCAACTCCATCAACGTTCCTCGGATGTGAACTTTGGTTATTCGTCACAACCTCCTCTATTGCCTTTCGTATGGTGCTGCTGCTAAGGGATTTAGCCTTTAGTTTCGGTCCCTTGTTACGAATAACATACGTAGAAAGCCTCTCCTTCGAAGCTGGTTGAAGAAGAGGGTTGATGATTAGGTTTTGTATGTTCATTCGTGGTTTAGGAGTTCATTAGCGGGTATATTTAATATTAGCATATTTTGTTCTTGGATATTATAAAATGTGGTTTACGTCTTGATCCGTAAATTAGAGGTGTACAAATTCAGATAGCGAATTTGATTTAATCCAAAAATTTAAATATTCGAAAGATTTTGAATACTTAAAATATTGATTCGTATCCAATCTGAAAATTTGGATCCGAATTTTCGGAACATAAAATTTAATTATTTTAAATTTTAAACTTTGTGATTTGTGATTTAATGTAATTTATTTGGGTTAGAGTTTTAATATGTTAGTGAGTTACTCATTTATTGGGCTAAATATATATAAAATATAAAAGCCCATTTTTTTTAAATTTTTGAATAATCTGAAAGTCAAATTTATCCGATCCGATTATCAGAAATTTTTTCTGGATATCCAATCCAAATTATACGAAAAATTAAAAAACGGATCGAATGTTTAAATTCTCAGATCTAATCAACGGATCATATCAATTAGATTGGATCTTTTTGCACACCCCTAATGCAAATATCCAATATTCGTTATTCAGGCATCTTTGAAAGTTACATACTTGGGTTTTCATAATACAAGTACTTGTATATTTTTTAAAGTTATACTATTTTAAAAATCACATGAAAAAATATATAAATTTAAAATTTCATAATATATAATCCAAACATAAAAATCTAAACTGTATAATCTAAAAATAAAATTTAAAAGGTTTATATAAAAAATAATATTGAAATACCTAAAGTATTTTCTTGGTCAATCAAATATCTAAACTTATCTTTTTGGTCAAAAAAGTACCTAAAGTATTCATTTTTTCATCTTAGTACCTAAAGTATTCTTACTTTATGTCACATGTCAGCTTTTTTAGAACTTAGATGAAATAAATTAAATATTTTAGGTACCTATTTTGACCAAAAATACTTTAGGTACATATTTTGACAGAAAAAGTTTAGGTACTTATTTTGACAAAAAATACTTTAGGTAACTAAAAGAAAAAAAATACTTTAAGTACTTATTTATAATATAAGCCAATTTAGAAAATATAAAATTAAAGAAATGTAATTAATTTTAAAAATAAACTAAAATGTTAAGATGAAAAATAATTTGAAAATAAATTAAAATGTTAGAATAAAATAATTTGAAAAAAATAATGATTTAAAATATTATAGTAAAATAATTTAAAAATAAATTAAAATATTAGGGTGGAATAATTTGAGAAATTATGGGTTTAGAATATTAGAAATGAATTTGAGAATTAAGAGTGAAAAATCTAATTTAAAATAAAAATAAAAGAAATAAAAAACTGAGTTGTCACATCCCGATTTTTCAGAAATATAATTATAATAATTTGTTAAATTAAAAATGAAGGTTTAATTATTACTTTATTAAATTAAAAATGAAGGTTTAATTATTACTTTATTAAATTTCTAAATCAATTCCTAACACTAGGACATTTCAAGGATTTGAAGGTTAGTTTTCCCTTTCTTTTAAATGAGGGAAAATGCAAAAGGATTTGAAAACACAACCTATAACAACCTCAACTAGGGGTGTGCAAATCCGGGTACCCAATTTCCGGGTACCCGGAACTTCCAGGTCGACGATTTCTCAGTCCGTGTCTCGATCCGGATGTTACGGGTACCCGGTAATCGGGTACCCGGATTTTGTAGGTATCCGGTAATCGGGTACCCGATACCCGATTTTTAATTTTTAATTTTCAAATTATTAATTTTAAAAAATATATACACAAATTTAAATGTTCGAAACTTCGAATTACATACTCTAATATCCGAACATAAAATTTAAAAGTCCAAAACACAAAATATAATAATCCATAATATAAATAATTTATTATATTTTATATAATTATATATAAAAAAATAAAAAAAATAAAAACTAACCGAGTACTCGGGTACCCGAAAAAACTAGATTTTGTGACCCAAGCCCGACCCGGGAAATATCGGGCCGGGTACCCGACCCGGTCGGGTAATTTTTTTAGAGAATTACCCGGTTTTTTTAGATCCGGGTCGGCGGGTCGGGTCAACCGGGTCGGGTAATTTTGCACACCCCTAACCTCAACCCAAGTCTTTCGCATATAAGTTATGTCACTATTCAGGATTGAAATATAAAAATTATATATATTAAACCAATATAAATCAGTTTTTTACAATTTCATCTATACCCCAAAACCATTTCTCCCTATTTTAGAACTTAAAACCTAAATTTTTAGAAAACCATCTTCCTCCCTTGCCCTGCTATTGAAGTTTCAACCGTCCCCTCCAGTCGTTGTGGCATGCACTGCCACCACTACTGAATTCTCTTTCATCTCGTGATCAAACCCCGACCATCATTTACTCCAGTCGATTGTCATTTGTCCAAAAATATAAGAAAACCGCTCGACTCTCTCCATTGACGATCTTGACCACCGCTCATTGGTGATCGTCACCCCCTTACCAATGAGAAAGCCACCATGATCCAATCAAAACCTTATCGTCCATATTCTGTGAAACATCATCGTTCACTATGAAGAAAACTTCAAAGGTTCATTGAGAAATTGAGTTTCTCTATGATGTTTTTCATTGTTTTTGGCCACCTCCATCGTTCATGAGTCACACGACTGCCACCATCGTGTTTCTTGGGTTGTTACGAATAAAACCCAGTCGATAATGCTTCGTCCCCTTCATGGCTTCTCTGACCATCATAGAGTAAGTTATCAAGTTATATTTCATTTCTTTTTCCCCTTTTTTGATTTAATTTCAAGTTTTTTTTTTGTGAGAGAGAACACCATGTATTGTCTTGCACCTTTATCGTCAATTTGGTTATTGCATGTGCTGTCACATGTTAACCTTAGGGTTGGGGGCTTCTCCATTGATTTGAAGTGAGTAAACTGAATCGATCTGAATCGAGTCAATCAAATTGATCTGAACCAAGTCGGCTTGAACCGCCCAAACTAACCAGACTGAATCGATCTAACTGAACCGACAAAACTGAACTGTTGACCCTTGACCCATTAACTTTGACCTATACCGTTTTCTTTGAACTGATCTGTTAACTTTGACTTTGATTAGCGTTGACTTTTGACCAAAAGTTAACTTTTTTCAAAAAGACATATTTTGGATTTTACAAAATCTTGAGTTTAAATTTGAAATTTGTTTTGTCAAATTCTAACCAGAAAACCTTTAAGTCAGACATTGAACACAAACATGTATATATACTTAAATAGTTTGTTTATTTACATTTTAATTTGGACCGAGAACTGATTTATGTTGTTGATTATGTAAGGTACTCATGAGTCTTTCAATTGTACATCTACTTGACCCAACTTTTTTTCCGATCAGATTGTCTATACGAGCCCATAATTACCCGAATACTTTGTGAAACCTATTAATATTCCAATTAAGTTACTACTTCTCTAGTAATTCTGTTCTTATATGTATTAGGTTCAAGCACTGCTATAGAGCATGTCAATGCAGGTGCTCAGTAGACCTCTATGACTGGTCCTTTTTGTGAGGTGTGTTCCTCTGTGCTATATTAAATTTTTTTATTCATTCTTTAAATTCATTACCTTTATCATCATTTCTCCAACACACCTACAAGAGATATTCATTTAGATTTTGGTACCTAAATTGTTTTGGGTCCTAGAGGGCCTAGAGGGTTAATTCTAATATCTCTAGTTCCCAAGGGAACCCATACTTGTTTAACTTTAAAATATTTTATTTTCTTTATTGGACAAGTATGTACATTGTGACCATGAAAATGACAATGAGAACATTTTGTCATTTTTAAAATAGATAAATTGTTTTTAGAAATTATTTTCTTTTGTTTTGTTAAGCATTCAAGTTTAACTTTCAAATTAAGATTTTCTTTTTCTAACCCTTCAATTTTTAGTTTTGAAAACTTAAAATCTTTTATTTTTCAAATTTCATTTTGCATTTCAAAATATAATTTCTCTTTCAAAAGAAAATCATTTTTAAATTTGCATTTCAAATTCTTAAATTTACATTTTTAAATTTTGCATTTCAAATCGATTTTAAATTTGGATTTCATGGTCTCAAAGTCCTACTGCAATTCATCACAGGCTTTTTGTAATTCTTTAAATGAATGAATTTGAATCACAAGAGCTAGAAGTTACCATTGATTCTTCTTTTATTTTCATGAGATATAGGTTGACTACTTCATCTTTATCAT